ACACACACACACACACACACACACACACACACACACACACACACACATACACACACACACACACACACACACACACACACACACACACACACACGCCTTTTTTTTTTTAACGTATTAACACAAAACAACACTTCAACACTGCAGTGACATGTAATTCAGTATGAAGCAGACACACATTGGAGAAAGAGGTAAAACAGCAAAAGAAGACCAAAGCTGACAGCACAGCAACAAAGCAGTAGCACGTCAATGCAGTGAAGCCACTGTGTAAATATATTTACTGCTGAATGACAGATTAGAAGAGCAGCTTACTTTGGGTTTCATCCCCTTGTCATCAGATTCCTCTTCTCCCTCTGGGCTGCTGTCCGAATCCTTTCCAGTGAAAGATTCAAAGGGCAGCGGCTTCAAAACAACAACAAACAACTGGTTAAATGAAACAAATTCACAATAACTGGAAGTGCCAAACCAGTTTTTTTTTTTTTTTTGTTCAGCCCAACTTCTCTCAGGTAGCTAAAAGTAATAAAAATATAAAACATTTTGGTGGCCCTGGGCTACAATATCAGTGATAAAAGTAAAGACAAGCGCGCTCACAATAAAACTGTCAAACTCAGGTATATCAGGATCTGAGGTTCAGTCAATCCAAGCTAACGGCAACATCTGGAGGCTAAATAACCGGTACAGAAAAATGTGTTTGGAGGAGACACGTACCTTGGGTGCAGTGAGCTCAACTTTTGGGTTGTTCTCAACCTCCCACAATCCTTCATTGAAGCCTTTCCTCTTGTTGGGCTTGGCATACTTCTCTTTGTTGAGCTGGTACGGAAAGATATCTTTTGGGCCAAGAAATGCTCTGTTTGAAAGAAGATAATCCAGAATGTTGTAACCATTAAAAGTGTAGTGCGTGTGTGTTTACTGTGAGATGGAGCAGCAGCACACAGACACAACAGAAAGGGAACTCTATTCAGCCACTCATCAGACATTTATGTATTTAGAGAAACACCTTCAACAGAGCACAATGACAACTCAATAGGGAAAACTGTATATATATATATATATATATATAAGCAGCCGTTTACTATTCTAAATAATTCTAATGCTATGAACTCACTGTATGAGAGTGCATATGATCGAAAAAATCTAAAATAATACAAAAGAATTACACTTGAACTAATGAAACAAACTGCTTCATTCACCACTTCCTGCCAAGCCCATGAGGAATTAGAACGATGAAATGTTCACATGTATCGGAGGGCCGGTATCGTGTGCAACACAAATTTAGGACATCATTTTACATTTTATTTTATAATGGCAATACAGTATACAATACATATAAACAATGGATATAAGTTTGTCTTCATTTCCTGCAATACTTTCTCTTTGTGAGCCCATCAAAGTAAAAAGGAAACAGAGGTTGTTAGCAGTCGGTTACTAACGTTTCATGGGTGCCAAAGAAGAAGATGGGGAACTTGATATTGGATGGCTTCACAGCACCGTCTGGGACTTCATCAATCTGGCAGAGGGATGAGGAACACAGTTTAAAGTTACTTACTGCCACGAACAACACAAAGAACCACACAGGAAAGCAAACTGAAAGCGTTTCTCAGGTGTGTGCTTAGTTGCTGTCTGTGTGCCTCTTAAGTCTATAGAGTTATTGGACGGGTGTTTTTGCACGTGAGTTTTTATTCAGAAGTTTAATTGTAATCAAATGTTTTTTTATACATGAACACATTTGCATAAGATCGAGACTTACCCTGGCAGGCCAGTGTGGATAGCCCTTCATCTTGGCAAAGATCAGATCGCCAGGGTTCCAATCTCGAGTCATGCTGAACGTATTACCAAGCTGCAAGAAGAAGACAAAATGAAGTCAATGCACACGTTTGATCTGCAATTCACTTGATCAATAGCATCTACTCAGGCATGTAAAACGTGTACACACCCATTCAGTGCAACAACCCCCTTCACCGACCTCTAGTTCGTGCAGGCGTCTATAAAGGTGCATATTATATTATAATGTTTCAGTAAAGTGTTATTGCAGAACAAATTCTTACCAGGAAAACACAACGCTCCTTTCCCCCCAACACTCAGATGCACGTTTTCCGCTCCCGCGCAGGACGTCGACAGACTGTACCATTATATGGCAGGACGGGGGGGGGAGTCTATTCTAATAACACTTCGTTACTTGTGTTGTTTACTTTTTACGAAGCAGAACCCAACTATTTAAGGCGCTTTAAGAACATGCTAAATACTTGCGAAGTTATAGTGAGTCATAATTACGCCAAAGGGGATGTTATATGTGCGTGTGTGTGAGTATTTATAATAAAATAACCGCGCTGAGCATCTTGACATACAAAGCTCGTCTACTCGGGCATTTTGGTTTACGTACGTGTTTGAAAAAAGGGGGCGTCAACTTCCACGCATGCGCTCTCAAATCGTGGACGTTATTGGTACCTAATAAAAGCATCAGAGTGGGAGATCTGCAGCTGCTCCTCTCTCCAGCTTGGTACTGATGCTGAGGCCCGGGGGTCTTATATACATACATACACATATATATATATCTATTATATATATATATCTATTATATAGATATATATATTCATATATATATATATATATATATATATATTCATATATACAGTCTGTGGTGCAGCCTGACAGTGAGAACAACATGTAGAACATGGCTGATATCCCTGGTAAAGAAATGCATTTTCTTTGTTCACTTCTGTTACAATTTAATCTCAAATTCTTAATCAATGAATTGTGTAATCTATGTATGACTGTGTTAATAATTGACATACATTTCACAAGATTGACGGACAACATTATGGACAAAATATGGAATTATTTAGGAATCCATTTGGATGGTCTTCAGGGACCTCTAGTGGCGAGATGAAGGAATAACATATTAAGTTTATCAAGAGTGCAAGAATTAGAAACAGCAAGCTCACGTTCTGCTCTTCTTGATTTTTATTTCATTTGATATGGAGTTTGGTGTGAATGCTCATTAAAAACTTATTTGAACGTATTTAACGGTGATTTACTACAGTGCATCTCACAAACCACCAGAGGGAAGGGAACTTTTTTTTTAATATGACAATTGTTTCCTTGATTAATCATTAAGTCTATTCAATGTCAGACACTACTGGATAATGTTCGTCACAATTTTCTGGATCCTGAATTGATATCTTCAAATTCCTTTTTTTTGTCGACCAACAGTCAACAAACCCAACAATATTGAATTTCACAGAAAAACTGCAAATTCCCATATGAGGAGCTGGAACTTGACAATATTTGAGATTTTGCTTGAAAAAACCCCCAACCTAAACTTGAACTATTCATTCAAATAGTTTCAGTTCTAATTACGAACCAAGCTCCTCAGGTTTTTTTTTTAGTCCGGCTGAAAAAACTTTTTATTGAAGGGATAATCAAGGATTTAAGAAAACAAAAAATCTATACATAAAACAGCCACTGGGCCCTGAAGAGCTTTATATTAACAAAACACTGCAGATGGTGAAAGTATATGAAGGTGACCTCAAAATTTGTGGCACAAGCAAGCTTACATAAATCCAAGTCAACTGTGTGTGTGTGTGTGTGTGTGTGTGTGTGTGTGTGTGTGTGTGTGTTAAAGACAATAGAAGATGTTGATAGTTGAAGGACAGGCTCATCAGCCACAGGGACCCAGAGAGGGGGATAAGGGAGAAGAGGAGGCCAGGATGGGCCAGAGGCGAGCAGGATGAGACAAAAGGAAAAGAGAGAGGTGGAACCCGGGTCCATGCCCAGGAATAACTCACAGGAGCTACCAGGCCCCCCTGCCCAGCCTGCGAGGTGAGAGACCTTGGTGTTGGAACCCAGCCAGCGTAGTGGGGTTCCTGCTCAGACACACAGCTGTAACACAGGCCATGGATGGAGCTATAGAGAGATGACAGTGTGTGTGTGTGTGTGTGGACATGAATGCGAGTGTGTATCCTTCACCCTGGCAGACGAGGTGTTGGCAGAACATCCCAACCCACTCAGTCTCCGAGGGCCACAAAGTCCTGCTATCCTTCCTCACTCATTTGTTAAACCTGCCTCTCTTCTTTGCGGTGTCCTCGCTCACATACTGAGAGAAGCTACTTTATGTATGACGAGTGCCATTCAAAATCACCTCCCCCTATACTTTACTCGTTGCCCTCTGGCACATCGCGGCAACGAGACAACCCAGAAATGGATTCAGGTTTTCAGGAAAGGCAGTAGTTCTCCTTTCATGTTCTACATCACCTATAGCATCTACAAAAAAGACTGCTGCACAGATAGACGCCGTATAGCAGCTGCTTGACCTGGCACAGAGACACACGGGCAGGTGTCTCAGGTGAGCTCATTGGCTGGTTTCACCTTCTCAAATATTCGTTGTCATACACGATAGTAATCTGAGTACCTTTGGGACGTCACCTTGATCGGTGGGAAATTACAGCAGCCATTTCATTTTATAGACAAAACAGTAAAGTAATAGCGAGGAATTATTGGCAGATTAAACGTTAATGGAAAAAAGTTAGCCGAATTAATGCATCAGTAATACTAATCATATTATATAATATGTAAAAGTACACACAAAGTGGTACTTTTTCAGCATGATGAGTACTTTTCCTCAAAACTTTAAGTACATTTTTCTGATAAAAGTTACACACTTTTACTTGAGTTACGTTTTCAGAGCAGGAATTTTAAATGTAGTGGAGTATTTTCAAATTTAGGTATTTCTGCTTTTACTGAAGTAAATGGTCTGAATACTTCTTCCATGACTGTGTGGCCGAATCAATAGAGCCACAGAATCTTAGGCGAGATGAAACAACGTAGAGCAGACAGTTGGTTGAAACAGATTAGCAAAAAGTAGAATGAAACTATCATATGTCAATTTCAAATATATATATATTTTAATCAAGAGTCAAAAATACACATAATACAAGTTCTGTTTTGGGTATTGGGTGTTATTATATATAACAATCTCTATGAAGACTCCAGTTTTGTGTGTGGTTTTATGTGTGTGTACATGTATTTGAGCAAGTGCACACACACACGCACACACACACTCACACTCTCACACACACACACACACACACACACACACACACACACACACACACAC